TTCAATAACATTTAAAATCTACTGATCACAAGCTTTTGAACGGCAATGCAAATTTAAATCATTAGCTGTAATTATCTATCTTTTATTTTGTTATTTTATTATTTTGTTTTATTTTATTTTATTGACTGGTCATACATTTACGTATTATATTACATATTTACATAATTACTTGTTTACATATGATATTTTCTTGATTTAAATTATGTATCTTTTTTATTTATTTGATTTAACCGGTCATGAATTTACTTTTTTATTATGTAATTTATTATGTTATATTGTTATATAAATGTGTGTGTGTATTGCTTAAAGTGATCTATTTTTATTTGTATTTATTTTATATTTATTATTTTTACTATTATTTAATTTGACTGGTATTGATTTACATACAGTATTATGTTAAGATTTAAAGAATAGTTGCTATTACTATTTTGTCACCAATTAGAGTCCTGCAGAGTGACTCACAAAATCCACATTTAATAGGACGATCTCTTGGGGATTCTTGAAAATGTTGCTAATCAGGACCCCAATAAGAAGTGAAGTTGACATTTGCTGGCATTGGGACGAGGCTGAGTTTTACATGTTATAGTTAATTAAATTTGTAATGTTCATCAGGAATTACCTCTGTGTTAATCTATTCAGCCCTTCAGTGTGATGCTTTCACTAAATGGAGAAACTTTCAGCATTAATTAGCATAAAATAAGTGAAAGCTTCTTATTTGTGTTGATGCAGCATATGGGGGTCTAACTGTTGGAAAGAGTGTCAACAATTAGTACAGCTGTAGTTTAACCCTTAAGGGGTGTTCATGCTGACAGTGATTAAATCACAATGTCTCTGCACTGTTGGTTCTCTCCACTGCCGAATGGTAGTCGCCGCATTGTGTTGCTGCACATTTGCATAAAGTTGACCTCTGCTCAACTTTGTTGTTTCTTCAGTGCTTCACTTTTATCGACTGGGTATTGCTTGGTTGATTTTGGCTGCAGGTGCTGTGAGCACATCGACAGTGGTGTCAGGTCCATCTTTGGTTGGAGTTATGGGCTGTCATCTAACCAATGCACAGCTACCAGTTCTCTGTATGTGCATGTAAGTGTGTGTGCTTCCATCTTCATTAAAAGAGCTTTGTATTTTCTAGATTCAAATTTTAAACAAGAAGCTGGACTTCAGTCACGTACAGTCAAAGTGCGGATCCAACGATAATCTGAAGCATTCGCCCCATGGAGGCAATGTATGTACTGCTCCCTCTCTCCATATATCTCCTTCTTTTCCAAAGCCAATAGACCTCCACGATTTTTGACCCTTTACTATGTCCATTAGGATTAAATATGAACATTTTGCTTCCTTTCTGGATCTGAGGGTCCTAGACTTCCAACTTAGAAATGTTCCAGACTCATTTCTGTTGCACTGGATGCTCAAAGCTACAGATAGGACAAAATGCCTGCCGTGGCAGAATCAAACATCATATAGATGCGATCTTCAATAAACACACACATCAGATATAATATGAAAAACCTGTATATGGGATAATATACAAAACTGAAGTCCCTTCTTGTTGTTCATCTTGTGAAAATATATACACCCCATATGCAGTGTTGGGGAAAGTTACTTTTAAAAGTAATGCATTACAGTATTGCGTTACTCCATAAAAAAGTCACTAATTACGTTACTTAGTTACTTTTTATGGAAAGTAATGCGTTACGTTACTTTTGCGTTACTTTTTAAATCTGGGCAGGGCTTGCTTGTTTGTTTTTAAAATAAAAAAAGTTATATTTTTGGCAAATATAAAAGCCTTTTCACACCAAAAGTGAAATGAATAAGCCTCAGTCTGAAGGGAAAGTACATTTACGTCTGTACAGTAGAATGCAGAAGAAGAAATTTCAACACACTTCAGCAATAAAAAAAGACACACAAATGTTTGTCTAGAGTAATTTTTGCTTATTAGTACGGTTGAACTGGATCATCGAAGGTCAGAAGCAAAGACATTGGTTAATAGAATGGGATTAAATACATAAAGGATATTTGTGCTGTTTAACATTTAATTATTGCAGGTTTGCGTCATATTCTGAGTTGCATTATTTTTATCAATTTTGAGGAATACTGAATCTGTGTTTTTTTTTGTGAGTGAGATGAGTTAATGAATATTCATATTTATTTTAGAACTACAGTAACATCTTCTGATTTCTCTCAACATGGGGACAGGAGACTTGTCAATCAATAAATTGGAAAAAAAAGTAACTTGCGTTACTTATTTGAAAAAGTAACTCAGATATTCTCTTGTAAATTAAAAAGTAATGCGTTACTTTACTAGTTACTTGAAAAAAGTAATCTGATTACGTAACTCACGTTACTTGTAATGCGTTACCCCCAACACTGCCCATATGTATGTATTTGTAGACTGTAATGCAGGTGTTTGATGTTGACCTATCAACACTTGTGTGTCAACTGTATGGAAGTCATATCAAAACAAGACAACACATCATCAGCCCTTCTTTTCAATATTTCCAGTTTCTCTGAGAAAAAAAGTGTTTATTTTTTATATACTTACAGTTTTGCTCAACAGACTGTACCATGGAGTAGTAGTAGTAGAGTTTCTTATGCTCACTAAAAGGCTGCATTTGTTTAATAAAAAAATGCAGTAAAAACAGTAAACTTATTAAATGTTATTGCAATTTAAAAGAACTGTTCTCTATTTTAATATATTTTTAAGTGTAATTTATTCCTTTAATGGAAAATCTGAATTTTTTAACAGTGACTACTCCAGTCTTCAGAGTCACAACATTTAATTTTGATTTAGATTTGAAAGTTTTAGTAGTAATTTTCAACATGTTAATAATTGACATTTCTCTTTGTCTGTTATCCTGTTTTTTTTTTACCAAGTATGTTGCAGTGAATTTATGGGATTGCTTTTGCTGCAAAGGATACAATGCTGACTCACAATTTGACCAAGGCAGCAGTATAATTATGCCTAAAAAAATCCCAAAGGGCTATGCTGCTACATAGTCAGCTCACTAGGTTTTGCGAGTCGTAGTCTCTCTGTTGTTTCTGATTGTGCGTATTGACAAGGTGTTTTCTAAATGTCAGCGCTGGTATGTGCTGAGTCATGTCTGCACTTCAATCAGATTAGCTTTTTCTTCCCCTCGCAGCAGCAGTCAGTCACTGTGAGTGACTATTACAGCAAAGCTATAATGACCACAAGGTGTAGAGCATGACGCTAGCAATGCCAAGGTCATGGGTTTGGTTTCCAGAAAACATTACTTACGCTGTCTATTTAGTTTAGGTTAAGTATTTGATGAGCTAGATCACTTTTGTGACAGAAATGAAAGACTCCTATCAACATTCATCAAGCTCCTCAGTAATAACAGTTATTTATTACTCTGAAATAACTGAAGTTTGACTTCGTTTTTGTCCAAATGCACCAGTATCTGAATCAGAACCCACTGCAATGTTAACTTCGCCATGAATTTATAAACAGCTGAATGTGTGTCATTTGATTCAGTGATTTGATGCTGGATTTGTGATATTCATTGCACTTGTTTTTCTTAATGTTGTGGCATCTTCAGCATATGGATCAGTTCTGCTTGATTTGCAGCTCAGTTAACCATTTTTATGCATTTAGCAACATAGTTCTCTGTGCCTTTTAACTGTCTGTGTGTGTGTGTGTGAGTCACACACACACCCACACCCTGGACCACAGAACCACTCTTAAGTCGCTTGGGTATATTTTTAGCAATAAAAAAAAAAACCGCTGGGTGTCAAAATTATCGATTTTTCTTTTATGCCAAAAAATCACTAGGTTATTAAGTAAACATCATGTTCCATTAAGATATTTAGTCAAAACTTAATTTGATTAGTAATATGCATTGCTAAGAACTTAATTTGGACAACTTTAAAGGCGATTTTCTCAGCATTTACATTTTTTGCACCCTCAGATGCTCAAATAGTTGTATCTCGGCCAAATATTGACCTGTCCTATCAAACCATACATCATTGGAAAGCTTATTTGTTCCGATTTCAGATTATGTATAAATCTCAATAAAAATAATAATAAAAAAAAAAAAGTCACCCTTATGACTGGTTT